ATATTTGGCCAGAAGCATGCTGGGATGAAGGGCTACCAAATTTGTTTAAATAAATGATCTTCATCCATTTTCAAGGTCACGGGGGTCAAATATGTTAAAATCTTGAAACAACTTTTTCTGAATAACCAAAAGGCTTAGGGTGATGATATTTGGCCAGTAAGATGCTGGAATGAAGGGCTACCAAGTTTGTTCAAATAAATGAACTTGACTTATATTCAAGGTCACAGGGGTCAAATATGTTGAAAACCTTTAAACAACTTCTTCTGAATATCCAAGAGGCCTAGGGTGATGATATTTGGCCAGTAAGATGCTGGAATGAAGGGCTACCAAGTTTGTTCAAATAAATGACCTTCATCCAGTTTCAATGTCATAGGGGTCAAATATGTTTAAAACCTTTAAACAACTTCTGAATAACCAAGAGACCTAGGGTGATGATATTTGGCCAGTAACATGCTGGAATGAAGGGCTACCAAGTTTGTTCAAATATATGACCTTGACTTATATCAAGGTCACAGGGGTCAAATATGTTGGCATGAAGGGCTACCAAGTTTGTTAAAACGTTAAGGTCAAAGGTCAAAGCATAAGTCACAGAGACCGATTTCTTGAAATCTGCACTCTGGCATCTCAAAAGGTGTTCTTGAATACCATATCTGGTTACTCTTCTTACTCTGTTTAACAGTATAGAATAGTTGCTTAGGACAAACTTTTCCAAATGTTGAGGTCAAAGGTCAAACCATAGGTCAAAGGTCAAACCATAGGTCACATTGACCAACTTTTTGTACTTCTCACTTTGCCATCCTAAGATGTAGTGGCATACCGATTCAGGAACTCCATGTCAAATAATGTAGGACAAAGTTTGTAAGGGTTCAAAGGTCAAACCATAGGTCAGAGTGACCTACTTTTTGGGAGAGATATGCTTTCAACAAAGTTTCCAAAGTTTGAGGCAAAGGCCATAGGTCAGAGTGACCTACGTTTTGTACTCTGCCATCCCAAAAAGACTTGCATACCCCCAACTTGGTTATTCAATATGAAATATGTAGGTATGCCCCAGAAAAACTCTTCTGTTAAACTGTACATGTTAACCCCCACCCCCTCTGAAACGACAGGGGAATTTTTACAATGTATCATACAGCTGTTTTGTCCTTCTACGGACCATCAGTGATGATGTGGGCCAAAAAGCTGGAAACCAAAATTGATCAACCCTAATTTATATTGAAACAGAAGGGGTTTGGGTAAAATCCTTTAATCTAAAAGCGGTTATTCTCTTGGCTAATATTCAGAAGAATTTGTTTCAAGACTTAAAAAAACACATTTGTTTCCTGTGACGTTGAAAGTAGGTTGAGGTTATTCATTTTTTTAAACAAGATGCCCAATGGGCCTGCATCGCTCACCTGATATTAATATCACACTTGTAACCTTAAAAGTGGACTAAAACAAAGCTGCAGACAAAATATCAGTATTCATTTCGCTGACAATCTTTATAGCCCTTCATATAGGGTTATTCAGAAGAAGTCGTTTAAAGATTTTAAACATAAATGTAAGTCAAGATCATTCATCCAAACATGCTACTGAACAGTCTTGGCCAGGAGATGTTGTTTAAAGGTTTAAAACATATTTGACCCCTGTGAAAGTTAAGGTCATTCATTTGAAAAAAAGATTGGTAGCCCTTCATGCCAGCAAGTTACTGGCCAAATATCATCACCCTGGTCATTTTGGTTATTCAGAAGAAGTTGTTTGAAAGTTTTCCAAGATAACTGACCCCATGTCACCTTGTATATAAGTCAAGGTCATTCATTTTAATAAACTCGGTAACCTTAATCCAAGCCATCCTCGATATCCAGGGTAACACTCACTTTCGCTCTCTGCACCCCTGGAATATGTCAAAATTGAAGACTAGGTGTGCAGCACCTTGACGATGAGACGAGAGGACTAGTTTGATCCTTTGATGTACATCAAAAGAATCTCACGGTCAAGTTACGGTAAAAATAGACACGCTTGAATCTCTCCTTTGTAATCTTCAAAAGACAGGTATCAGCCTAGTGATTGGTCTGGTTTTTTTAACTGAGACCAATCAAACAGCTATCTTCGTGCCTTCAATATAGCTATGACATATTCCAGGGGTGCAGAGAGCGAAAGTGAGCGTAACCCCTGGATATCGAGGATGTATCCAAGCATGCTACTGACCGTGTTCTTTTTTTAAATGACTGACCCATATGACCTTGAATATAGGTCAAGGTCATTGATTTGAACAAAGTTGAGCGTAACCCTTTGCCCAAGCATGCATGCTACTGGCCAAATATCAACATTTTGGACCCATTCTGAATAATTTGTTTAAAGTTAGAAGTTGATGACCGACGGACGATGGAAGCTGCATCACAACATACAGCTCACTTGGCCTTTCCGGCTAGGTGAGCTAAAAACTACATAACCCTTCATCCCAGCATGCTACTAGACAATAACACATCCAAGGCCTTTTGATTTATCAGTAGAATTTGTTAGAGAAAAGGTTGACACTGGACAATGGAGCCCAGCATGGACCCTAATCCATGACATAAACTCACTTGCCTTATTGGCAGGCCTAGGTGATCCAACAACACAGAACTATACAAAATGTTACGAAAATTTTATTTGATATGATCGTATGTACGTATATGTCAGCCAGGTAAAAATTAATGTGAAATGGCTGAAATTGAACTTTTTTTTATAAATTATATATACTTACACAGCATCCTTTAAAGAAGTCTGCAGATGACTGTTTACAAAATTGAAATAAATTATTTGAAAGCAGGAATTAAAGATAGCTGCATAATACAACAATATATCATTATGACAAAATAATGACACTATTTCTAAAACAAAATTGATTAACAAATTGCCTATTTAATTGTGAACAATTGCATGGAATCGGTAATAATTGTAACAAGTTCTAATTTTTACGTAACGGTGGCCACTACAGAGGTCCCCAAAATTACCCCCACAGTCGCAAATGGTGCTAAATAAAGTCATTCTACTATTCGTAATAATAATAGAATCCATCCCTGATGTGAGGTAAGGATAAGGTCATTCAAACCCAAGGGATAAAATATTGAGCAGGACACCCGAGGGTATTTTGCTCAATATTTTATCCAGAGGGTTTGAATTACCTTATCCTTATAATTACCTCACATCAGGGATGGATTATATTTCTTACTTATTACCTAAAAACTGTAAAAACTGCTGTTCTTCTAGTAGAGTTGTAAACTGTCCGCACATTTCTTATAAATTTGCATTTGAAGCCCGGATGGCAATTGTTAATGACGTCAATGACCCTGACTGACTCCAAAACGTCATAGAATAACGTCACGAACAGTAGCTGACCCCGAAAGGTTACTGTAATTCCCCTGCCAGCCTCGCGTGTAAGCGATCCAGACACGTGGGTCGAATAGAATTTTCCAGCAGCGCCGGAAATGCGGATATCTCGGTCTAGTATGCAAGAATAACATAATACACATACATACCAAACAAGGAAATCTGTCAATAAATAACCTTTGTCCCAACAGAGGCTGCAGCGGCCATCCAGGTTATACATTAACCCTTTCACCACCGAGACCATAATGGACTCGTCCATATTAATGGATGGTAGTGTCTATTAAAGTTACATAGGGGTGAAAGGGTTAACTAAAACTAAGCTGTTTTGCACATCTTTGTATTCTCACCCATACTAATGCCAAGTTTTATTTTAATCCAACTCACAGTTTCTGGGAATTGAAGAATAGGAAATTTGGGAATCAAAGAATGGGAAAAAAAGGGTAAAATTCTAATGCTTCTTCTATGACAAACAGCACTCCCTTAGGACCTATATTCTGACCGTGCATGTGGCTGTGTATGCCAATACATTTACAAAATTCCAGAGGTTACGCTCTCTTGCGTTCTCTGCACAGTACGCCTGGAACGTGTCATGTAAGAACGAAGACTTCGCACCTTGTGGATGATACAGGTAGATATGTTTGGTCCTTTAACATCGATGTACATCAATCAAATCACACTGCAGCATAACATTAAATAAATTGACAAGCCACTGTGCATGTATAGCGCTTTAAATTCGCGGGGTTAATATTTTGCGGTTTTGTATTCAGTACGTATTCGCGGGGGGTTAAATTTCGCTGTGCACCCGAATCCCATGTGCCATGAAAAGTATTTTGATCGAGTGTCATCATTTAAGGGTTTAACCTCAAATACAGGTAAACCGTTTGAAAACACCGATCTCGAGCGTCGTCATCCGCCAGTGACTTCACTCAAAAGAAAACCAAATGTGTATGTACCTTTGTAGAAGTAAACTATAATCCATTAATCACCTACTGTGTACACATAAATATGTTGTGGCCACTTATATGTAAGTGTTGTTTTTAAATGGACGGGCCAGTTGTCTGGTGATAATCTTATTTTAGTTTATTTAAGCTTGCATTATAACAGCATTGGGTCATAAGTATTTTCAACATAAGGTCCGCAAAAGTGGTTAACATTTTTGACAACTTCGCTGGTGTTCAGAATTAGGATATATAAGTCAAAGCGTGAAAATAGCGAAATTTAAACCCCCGCGAAATATGACCGCTTATAATACAGTATATCAAGTCGGATATTGCTCCTCCGTTATCTTTGAAGTATCCGCCGCCGCCTAGCAATTCACACACACAATGGTCCAGTGTTTTTGTCGGAAACCAATCCAATACTTCTCACTTGCTTTCCATTTTGTCATTACATATTCCAGGAGAGCAGAGAACATTAGAGAGCGTAACCCCCTAGAATTCAAGGGTGACCCCAATTTATACTTATAAACTCGACACTTGTTTGATAATTTCTGATCTCGAGTGCCTACCTTGGACACAATTATTATGGTAATCTATAGGGCAATTTTACAGAAATAACTGTTTGGGAGGCCAGTTTAGAAACAAAATTGACTTTTCCAGGGACCCCCCCCCCC